AGTAACCTTGTTTTTATAATAACACAAAATAATTACAAATTTCCTTTTTAGTTTACCAATTTATAAAAACACCAACATTTTTAAGTATTCTATCTTATGGAATTTAAGGAGTTAAGAGTACTTAATATTATATTTAACAGTCAGCATTTTAACTTTGTACCAATTAGATGTCTCTTACAAACATGTCTATGATTAATTTTATATACATTTAGATGTAATTTACATATCTTTAAAAAAAAACAAGGTATCAGACAGTGCATTGAATAGTATTAGTAATCTTTTTTTCCTGTTGAAGAAAAATCCTAAAGACAATGAATGTTAGACACTTTATAGACATTAACACTTTTAACAGCTGTTTAGTCATCTAGAAACAAAACTGTGCATTAGTAAATTTAAAGACATTTGTACTTTTATCTATTTTCCCAATTTAAATTGAACCTTTTAGATCATATTAACCAAAAGTATTTGGATCCATTTTTAAAAATTTTAATTTATGAGCTCATATGTCAACTTTTTAGTACCAAATATATGTAGAAATGGCAATACATGTAGACAGACAGTACACCAGTGCACCCACACAAAACAGACAAACAAAAGCCTTGTATCTTATTTTTTTAAAAACCTATTAGATTGAGAGTTAATCCTTGTAAATTGGCCTTAGAATAAAGCAGAGAATAATCAGAAAAAGATATTAACTTAGGCATATTGGATCAAAATTATGAATTTAACAAATATAGAATTTTAAAAGTTTTCTGACCTTTTTCCTTGGGTGATCCTGTTCATGAAAGCTAAAAAGAGTTGAAGGAACATAGACAAATGAAGGGGGCTTATTTTTCACTGGAGGAACTTCCCAAAGATGCAGCTCCATGGGTCTCCTTGAGAGAGTCCCCCAGGTTGGGGTCCCATTTTAAACTGATTTTTCTGGTTTCTTGGATAGCAGCCACCAACTTTTAGCCTGACATTGAAAAATCTTTAGACCATTTTTTAATAGTTGGGAGTTATTCATGCTTGTAAATACTGAGATACAAAAGCCAAATTTTCTAGACAAAATTATGCTTTTTGTTATATAATTTAAGGATGATAATTTTATAAAACATTTTAGTTTTAATCTGTTCTCTATAGGAACTGACATGATTTACCTAGTTGGCCACCTGGCCCAGTTCCTAAATGAAGACAATCTCTAGAATGCCTTTTTCTTTTTACCTTTAGCTAGTCCTGTTGGCAGCACTTTACATTTTAATGCAAGCTGTAGTGAGCACAGTTAAAACTGTTTTAACCATTTTTTTTTCCTTTAGAAACAAACTGAGGTAGAAATTAACACAGAACACAATGGGAACAAACAAAAACAAACCAAGAGACAAAGTCCTGAAAATTGTTAAGAAAACAAGTTAAAGGGGTCCAGGTAGAGATCTCTGTAGCTCTTCCTTGTCTCTGATGTAGGGGGAGCAAAGGAGTCCTGATGAAAGAGGAGCAGTTATGAGAACAAGAAAAGGGCCCACGCACAACATTCAGACAGAAAAATGCAAGACAAATGGCTGGCGAACAGACACGGGACAAATGACAAACAGCAAGAAGATGCTGGAGAAACTACAAACAGCAGAACAGACACAAGACAAGCAACAATCACTGAGATCACACAGGGAGACCCAGATGGATGAGGCCTCCCAGGGAGGCCTCCAGTGGGCCCAGATACAGACAGATGAGGTCTCACAGGGAGACCTCCAGGGAGACAGTGACAATGTCTCGTCCTGTCCCAGGGAAGGTGTAAGCGACTGCGTCCAATCTGACCTTTTCCCCCAGAGGAGTCGACTCACCAGAACTGACAGCATGGCAGGAGGCTTTTCAGAGCATCCTAGAATGGATTGGAGTCGTCCTTGGAGTGAGGCTGAGGAATGTCTCTCAGAAGCTCCCCACTCCGGGGCCGAGGTCCAAAGGCCTGTCTTTGGAGGCAAATTTGGCATGAGGGAGGGAAGAAATGGATCCTGGATGAGCCCCCAAAAGTTATAGTGAAAGCTTCATTCCGGAGTTTCATAAACTGACTTCCAGACCACTCACGTATAAGCTGGACAGTGCAGTCAAGCGGAGGGAAGCCTAACCAATCACAGTTTACCCAGTCACCCCAGTCACCCCAGTTACAGAAACAGAGCCCCGTTACCCCAGTTATAGAAACAATGCCCCATTAGGTAGTTCCGTGTTCTTAAAGGTTTCTATAGCAAAAGGAAAAGAACATATTGCTCCAGTCAGGACTCTTCTACTTGGCATGGTTGTTTTACAAGATGAAGTTATAAAACAAAATGGAGTCACATTTGCTCCTACTATCACATAATGTTCCTAAAAATAAGGAGTTTAGAACTTTAGTTGTTTTTTATGTTAGTTTTTCTAGACTACTATTTATTGAAAAGTCTTCAAAATCTTTTTTCAGATATTCTTTTGTTTTAACTTCTCACGGGCTTAAAAACATCTAAGCAAGCTGGTCATTATAAATATATAGCAAAGAGAAGTAGAGATGTGACTCTTTGAAATAGATCTAGCTCCTGAAGGTGAATTATATTGTTAAGATAAGGAGTCCATTGCTTGATGTTTATAAAAGACATCCAAACATATTTTTTCCTTCCTAATTACACTTGAATTTTTGATGAGTCCAATCTAATGTTTGAAGGAAAAGATTCACAAGTAGTCATTGTTTTTCTAAATATCTCTAAATACATGACAAGTTCAAAGGCATTATGCCACCATGCAGAATTAGACTGATTGTTATTGATACTTACATAGCTAGAGCTGTATCAGTGTAAACTAAACTCTTATCCTATTCCACAGGATATGAAGTTTTAGAAACTTCTTAACAAATGTAATTATGTGAAGTAATGAATATGTTAATTAGTATGTGGGGAATATTTCACAATGTACACACTGTTATCAGAATCAAAATTGTCAGTAGGAAAGCCTTCACCAAATGCCAGTGCCATGTTCTTGGACTTCCAGAGCCATCAGCAAGTTAAACCTCTTTTCACTATAATTTACCCAGCCTGATATTCAATTAGGGCACCAGAAAACGTACTAAGTTTCAGAGAGATTACTGGTCAAGGCACACAACTACAAAGCAACACCTCTGGGACTCAAACCAACTCTCTTCAGTTCCAAACCTGGTAGAAGCAGTTAGCCATCAAGCAAAACACAGAAAAAACAGGCTGCAGATTCCTCTTTACTTGCCACAGCTGTTTCTCTCTGGATGTAAAAGTTGCTAAATGATAGTAGCTTGTTTTCCTCTACAGCACCTGTATCAAAATACTTGCTTTCCAATCAACTTTCTGAGCCTTTTCCTCATCTCAACATGCAAGTCAATAACACTTTAGTTATAGTAATAATAATACTCACTGTAATAGAGATGTTCTGACCGTTAAGTGGACAATAAGGTGACCCTGGTGTGCAAAGAAAATGACTCACTGAAGACGTCTCACTTGGACATCCCATGCAGTGGGGAAACTTAGCAGGACTGAACCTACCCATCATGCTGGGCATGTGGCATGGCATAGTGCCAATGGCTGTTCCAGAAACAAAAAAGTCTGATTCTATTTTATTTTATTTTAAAGAGAGAGAGAGAGAGAGAGAGAGAGAGAGAGAGAGAGAGAGAGAGAGAGAGAATTTTAATATTTATTTTTTAGTTTTCAGCAGACACAACATCTTTGTATGTATGTGGTCCTGAGGATCGAACCCGGGCTGCACGCATGCCAGGTGAGCATGCTACCGCTTGAGCCACATCCCCAGCCCAAAAGTCTGATTCTAAACTGACCCTTCCACCAACCAGAACCTCAGGAAACTCCTGGGAGACCCTGGTGACAAGTATGACTGAGCGCCACCAGCGGTTCATAGGGCTACACCATCTTAAATACAGAAATTACTCAGAGGAAGCCAGTTGAAAGGATTCCGATTTTTCCAGAAGCATCTCTCCATGGACAAATTGACACATAAATGTATTGAGTTGTGGTTTATGACCTTCAATAAATTAACAAGACAAAACAGAACAGAACAGAAAAACGTTGTGCATATGCATTCCTTACACTATTTGTAACTGTCCCATGTGAGCTAACTCAGTATTAAATTTATTCTTCTAAATGCATTGCACCAATACACCAGAATCATTCCACAGTAGTTTACACCCTGATTGGAGCTGTCAGAATAAAGGTTGGTGGTAAAGATCCACTGTCACTTAAAAAACAACATGGAATGACTTGGGCTTCAATTAAAGATTTCCTAGGAAAATTTCTGTATCCTATTCAGTCCAGTACAAACTTGTTTCTATCTCCCTCACAGTCCCTGTATCTGCTTGAGAGTCATAATTCACGCACCTAGCCAGGCGTGGTAGTGCACACCTGCAATCTCAGCAGCTTGGGAGACTGAGGGTATTCAAAATGCTTTGGGTAGTGGAATTAAGAGTGACTTTATTTTCTCCTTTTGCTTACCTGTATTTTGTAAATTTTCTAGAATTAATATCTGTTACTGGTACAAGAAAAACATATTTCACACTTCAAAATAAACATAAAGAAAGTAAAGTTCTAGTGCATGCTTGTAATTCCAGCAACTTGGGCTGATGAGGTAAGAAGATCAGGAGTTCAAAGTCAGCTTCAGAAGTTTAACAAGGCCCTAAGCAATTTAGCCAGACTCTGCGTCACAGTAAAAACTAAAAAGAGTTAAGGATGCAGCTCAATGGTTAAGATCCTCATGGAGAAAGAAAGACAGAAAGAAAGAAAGAAAGAAAGAAAGAAAGAAAGAAAGAAAGAAAGAAAGAAAGAAAGAAAGAAATTTACATTCCAAATGCTGAAGCAGCCTCCTTCCTTACCCTAATCCAAATACCTTCTCTGGAATGTTCATTGATCCAGAGACACGATTAGATATTTGCTTCTATTCTACAATCACAGTCCAATAATTGTAAGTAATAAACTCAAAGACAGGAAAAAGCCACATGTTAGACACTTTTCTCTCTAACTGGGCTTGATGTAATAGCTACTCAGTGGCCTCAGGGTCTTGATTCCAGATGAGGTCTTCATAGAGCTGGAGAACTTTCTTGTGGATATCATCATATACTGGGAGGTTTCCCGCAGTCACTGTCCCCATGTCCATATCAAACTAAAGGCAATAAAAAGAAATGTGAGGCTTTCCAGTGATGCCCTAAATCAGGGGCCAGAGGGATTACACTTTAGACCACAGTCTTGGTCACAGTGACTTGCCTTTACTGTTGAAGCCCAAAAGCAATGTTATCTAAGATACACATGAATGGTGGGTGCACTGAGGGGGTACCTGAATCAAACCCCCTTTACAGAAACTGATCACAGGCCAGTTAGCCTAAAGGCCACATTAGGGCAAACCCTGCCCTAAATAAGATGTGGTTTCAGGGGCAAGCAGGCTTTGAACCTACCTTGATTGCACGGTAAAGGAAAAACCCATGCATTGTTTCATGGATAGTGTCCATTCCTCAGAAGAGAAGGACAAGTTGGAAAGACCTCCACTTATTCTGATTCCAGGTAAAGTTCCCTGGCAAAAATTTTAAAATGTCAAGTGTGTTCTATTTTGCTCAGAGCAGCAATCACATCTCTTTAGCTTTTTCTTTTTCTTTTTCACCCTGCTGGTAAAAACATGCTAGTGGAATATATTTGTGTTCTACCCTTGCTGCCCAAAATATAGCATCCAATAAATTTCAGCAGTAGGTCAAACACAAGAAAGAAGAGAGAAAAATTACCATAATGATTGAAACACTGTTATTAGAATCCTTCAGAGCTGACAAGACAGTGCCATCATTACCATTCACAGACCAGATAGAGCAGGTGAAACCAGCACACTTAAGGAAACCAGGGCCAACAAGAGCTCACCTCATCAGGATGTCAGGACTCTGAGGTCATGCCACTACAAAGCAGATAAACAACTGGCTCCAACTCTGGATTCTGAATTCAATGGACCACCAGATTCTTTGAACCTTTTATTCTCAAAAGGTGCAAAGAAAAGTGGCAAAACTTTAGTCAGAGTTTTTTACTTTTTGTTTTGTTTCTGGTGGTACTGAGGATAGAACCATAGGGATGCTCTACCACTGAACTATATCCCAAAGCTTTTATTATTTATTTTGAGATAGGGCCTAGTAAAATTGGCCAGGCTGGCCTCAAACTTAATACTCCTGATGCAGTTGGACTTACTGAATAATAAACATGTGCCATGGCAACAAGCTCATTTTTCATTTTTTTTAATACTAGGGAATAAATCCAGATGTACTTTACTGCTGAGCTCCATCCCCATCTCTTTTTAAGAGGGCCTTTCTAAGTTGCTAAGCCTAGCTTCCAGAGTTTCTGGTATTATAGTTTTGCACCACTGTGCCCAGCATAGTACTGAGCTCCTTAGTAGGAGTTTGAATACACAAATTAAAAATTATAATTCAATGCTTACCACAAGACTTATAATCTAAGCATTTAATGAAATCAAAAATAAGAAAAAGAAAAACCAACAATCCAACCATATATATATATATATATATATATATATATATATATATATATATATAATTTTTGGTATTGGGAATTAAACCCAAGGATGCTTCACCAATGAGCCACACCCATGGTCTTTTTATTTTCTATTTTGAGACAAGATCTCACTGAATTGCTGAGGCCAACCTTGAATTTGAGATCCTCCTGACTCAGCCTCCTGAGTTATTGGGATTATAGGCATGTCCATGTCCAGCACAGAATATGAAACTCTTAAAGCATCAGGAAGTGAGTAGGAGTTTAGCTCTATGGTTGACATGTGGGTTCAATTCTTAGAACCAAAAATCAAAAGAAGGGGCTAGGGTTGGGGTTCTAGCTCAGTGTTGAGTTATTGCCTTGCATGCATGAGGCACTGGTTTCGAACCTCAGTACCACATAAGTAATATTATATATATATAAAACAAAATCACCACAAAGTTTCTTTTAGAAAAGAATCTCAAAAACATTTCTCATCACAGACTTAAAGGCAGAGAAATAAGGTGACATTTTTTAATAGTTTTTAGAACCACCTAAATTTTTTTCAAAGACTTATACTTAACAAAAATACTTTTGCTAAAATTAACATTCAACTCTTTTCTTTCTTTCTCCTCCTCCTCCTCCTCCTCCTCCTCCTCCTCCTCCTCCTCCACACTGGGGATTTAACCCAGAGAAGCTTTACCACTGATTTACATCCCTAGCCCCTTTCATTTCTGATTTTGAGTTGTTTAGGACTTCCCTCATTTGCTGAAGCTGGCCTTGAACCTGTATTCCTCCTCTGCCTCAGTGTGCCTGGGAGCTGGGATTATAGGTGTGCATTAACATGCCCATCTTCACTTCAACCTGTTAAAGAACAATGTAAAGGCTGATGTAATCCCTTGATTTATCAAAGTTTTATACTTTTGTTTCAATCTGATAAGTCTAAGAAGGTCTCTTCTGCCTGATAAGGAATCACTACCTGAACTTCAATGCCCAAGGCACACATGGAACAAATGATGTGGCAGGAACAGATAAAAACTTCAAAGATTCAGAGAGTTGATCTTTGGTTTGTCCAGAAATATAATCACATCAGTTCTCATGACCAATCCCAGAAACCTTGGAAATAGCCAAGATATTATTGAGACCCTGTCTCAGAATGAAAAAATAAAAATATCTGGGGATATGGCTCAGTGGTAAATCACCCATGGATTCAATGCCACACACTGGGAAAAAAATCTGGCTGATGTCAAAAAGGTTACCATGAGCCTAGAATGTTGACACTCAGAAACCACTGGGCTTTCAATGTAGAAAAATAGAAAAACAGTTCATGAGTGGACAGCTAAGGGGGACAACTGGCAAAACTAAGTGAATAACACAGTGAGTCAACCAAAACTGCTCAATTATAAACTTTGTACAACCTTGACAATGTCCAGTTCAGAAGATATTAAGTTGCAAAATCTGGTCACTGCACTCAGACCCTCTAGCATGCCATCATCCATGTTGATATCCAGCTCCTGGGCTCCCATTTTCACTTTAATTTGGCAACACACAGGGATTCCTGAGAGAGGAACAAAAAATGAAGCATCTCTAGGAGACAGTGACTAAGAGAATGCTAATAAAATTGATCCCTCACCATTCCCCAAGTGTCCTTTCCAACTACTCTAGATACTAACCAGCCTAGTGCCCTGCCCTCCTTCCCCAGCACTCTCCACAGATTAACCTTTCTCAGGGGCCTCATTCCTCATATTACATCACTACGAATCAACCAAAGCTGTTTTCCCACCATAAAGATTATAAAATCCTCAGGTTGTGGTCACAGCCCTCTGAGCTAGCCCTCCCTTTATACTCTGCCGACAGGATTCTCTTCTCTTTCTCACTGGTTTAGAACCAGCTCAAGCCGATTTCTTTTAAGAAAAATCCTAAGAGAAATCATCCAAAACTCACATGACTCTTCAGTACTTGCCAAAACATGCAAAGTATTAATAGGAAGCTTCTGATAGAAATTGCATGAAAAGAACTGTGAGATAACTCTATTTCTGAATGTTTTTAGACTGAAATGCTTTTCAGATCCTATCATATAGTAGTAAATATTACCATCCTTGAAGAATAGAATATGATATGCAGAATTTTCCACTTATCATCATTTAAGGAGTACCTTTCAGGATCAATGATCCAAAGAACACATTTTGGGAAACTTGGCTCAATCCACAATGACCTGTGGTCTCTCAAGATCATCATCATATGGTTTATTACATTATCATTTCCTAATGCTTTCACAAATTTAATCTTCAAATAGTTGTGAAGTGTCTGGAAAGCAAGAAAGGCCTTATATATCTTCTCCTCTGAAATGCTGGGAAAAATATATACTTAGTGATACTGAGACTTTTTTGTTGTTATTTAATTATTCATTGTTAATGTCACAATGTGATAAAAAAAAGTAAAAAAAAAAATCAATAGGAGATACTTATATTGTCCTGATTTTTCTTAGTCCAAGAAAATCAAATAGGATTTTTTTTTATAAGTTTCTGTGCACAACAGGCATGAGACCCTCTGGCACATGCCACAACGAAATGCCATTCACAGTGAACCAAAGCTGCATAGAGAGAAAGGATCACTAATCCATTTCACAAATTCAAACAAGGTTTTCAGTATAAGTAATTACTTAAATAATATAAAGAATAACAAGAAGCATAACTGACAATCTCTATTCAGGAAGGGGTTAAATCTAGTTGAGAATACATAACACAGTCAAATAAAAACTACTGAGCACTGCCATAGGAAAGTACAAGTTCCCTATAAACTGAACCAAGGAAGCCATCTGAGAGGGAAGTCCTTTCGACTGCCCAGTAGGGAATAGTTTGGAGGAGACACAACATAACTTACAGAGGTCAAAAGACCTGGGAAATGGAGATGCTAATACCTCACCTGGCTATTTCTGCAGTCACAGAATGCCCACTTGAAGGTCTAATCTTCCCAAGTGAGCTCAGAGAGCTTGTTTATAAAGAAGCATAAGTTGAGCAAGACGCCAGGACAGAAACTCCTCTCATGTCAACAGTCTCTCCACTAAGCCAAAGAACCTGGAGGGATTACTGAGTCATGGAAAACGAGACTCATCTTCTGCCTTTTCTACCTCCCCCTTCTCTTTCCACTATACAGAGGCAGCAGGATGGTTAAGGGCCTGGGCTAGACAGTACGGATTTTATTACTTACTTGCTGTGAAACAACAGGGAAGTAATGTAGCCTCTCTTAAAGCCTCAATTTCCACATCTACAAGATGGGCATAACAGCACTACTCATTTATGGGGCTATAAAGAGTAAACAAGTAATGATATGAAGCATTTATTATAGAGAAAACACAAAGGAAGACCTTATTAAATAATGTATTGTTACTTTGGCCAGTTTGCTTCTTCCTAAAGTGCTCCCTGCAATCACTGATAAATTCATCAAATGCAAGAATCGAGGGCAACACCACAGAAAGGGCAGGAGAATCCAAATGTAGTCAAAACACTGAGAGATGCAGCAAAATACATGAGTAGGAAGAGACATCAGCACTTCAGAAGGGGCAAATGACAGCCAAGGTATGGCAGCAGAAGCAACGAGAAGATCAGAAAGGAAAACACCGTGCACAGGTGGAAGATGGGAGGATGGCCTCAAGAGTTTGAACTTTAATACATGTGGAAAGTTGGCATACAATACTTTTGAACTGGGGAGGACAACCATGACAGAAGCATATGGCAGCACTAAGCAGTGACAAGAATGAAGGGAAGGGAACCAATCAGTCAGAACCAGGTAACCAGGCCCTGTACTGAGGAAGAAGACACAACTCTGGGGAATGCCATGAGGTAGACTGTTGGGAAAAGGTATCGGGGCGGCCAGACCCCCAAAACCCCAGCATGGTGCCTTAGGTGCTTCTTTTCCTCTCCTTCTCCTGCCAGCGGGAAAAGTTCCTGTGGGCGCCAACTCTCCCATAGGTGCCAATATTTCAAATCTCGCTGGCGGGGAACATTAGCCCCAATAAGAACTAATTTTGTCAGCTCCAGAACTGACATATGGAAGAACTTACCAATAAACGTGTGACCTGTCATTTATCTAAGCCCTTCCATCTCTCCTTAGATGTATATAAGCCCACAACCTTTTGCAATAAAGTGGAACTTTCTCTGGTGAATTGTCTCACGTGGCTGCTTCTTTCAAGGACCATAAAGGAAGACTAATGGGCCATTCTGATGTGATGAAAACTAAATCTGCTCTGGCACTGGTTTCTCAAAGATTTACTTCCTAAAGATTGCAAAAGCTTTAAGTGAGAATATGAATAATAAAATTAACCAACATGAAAGCTTAGAACAATTTTCTCAACTTTTTTTCCTTCATATTTGCAAAAGAAAAAGAAAACCTATTTAATGTCTTAATGCTCCATGAAGATTAAATTTTGCTCACCCACAATATGACTGAGCTTAATGTGGCTAAAACCATCACATAAACTTTCTAAGGCAAAGGCCGGTATCTTTTCTTTATTGTTTTAATCTACAACTAAAATGTTAAACAATACCCTCATTATCAGTGTTTTATGTAGTCAAGAGAAATTGAATAGGCACTTTCTTGGCTTTCCTTTTTCCTAGAAGAATTTGTGAGAGGACAAAAAAAAAAAAAAAAGGATTCTCAAACACCTGAAAATGACTTCCTGATTAATGGAAAAAGTTAAAACCTGAATTGTTTCCATCTCATCACTCTTCATGCCCAATTAAGTACTTTTTGGCAAATATTGGTAACAGTTGAATGATTTTTCAAAGTTTCTATCTCCCAATAGCCCTTGCCTGCTATGAACACATAGTACCATCTTCTCACACTCCCTAACAATTCTGCTAACAGTACTATCAAGGGCAGAACCATGTTCACTGACAAGTTGATTAAACAGATGCCTCTAGGGTCTCATGAGGATGCTCACTTCATAGTTTCCTGCCAGGATGAGTTTAGCAAATTTCCTGGATCCTGCCACATTGCAGCACTCTCCAAGGTTAACAAAATTGTTGTATGATCCAATCCTGAAGGGCTCTAGACCTTAAAAGGAAAACCATTTATAATTATTTTCAGTAAGAAAAAGTCACTGTGCCAAAATCATCTGAGCACATGGACAAGAGTTCCAATGTAGAAACAGGAAAAAACCTTCTAAGGAGACTAAATGCAAAAAAGGTTATTTGTCACAGCTACAGGTACAAGTGGAATTCTCAAAAGAAGTATTTCAAGGTTGTATGCCATAAATATCACTAATGACCTGAGCCATTCTGTTTCTGAAAAAGAAGGAAAAGTTTTATCATCGTATCCATATTTAATCAAGAGTCTAGTGCAAAAGCCAAGCAAACAGTTAGAATCAAGGATTTGTGAGAGGAAAATGAAGAGAATTTTCAGACATTTACATTTACTTTACAATTAAAAGAAAGAACTAGAACCTGAATTAGTCCCACCTCATCCCTTTTGATGCCCCAAAAGCAGTAGCTTCGATTTTTCAAAAAGTCAAACATGTTACCAGTTAGCATCTTCTCACACTTCCTAGCAATTCTGCTAATAGCACTACCAAAGTCTATTATCATAGCTACTCAAGAAGCTAAGGCAGGAAGATCACAAATTCCAACCCAGCCTGGGCAACTTAGCAAGACCCTATCTGAAAATTTAAAAAGGGCCAAGGATGTAGCTCAGAAGTTTTCCTGGGTTTAATATCCAGTACCACACATACACAAAAAAGATTAAGCCATGGGTTTATACTCAGACAACTTGAAGCTTGACAGAACAAGCTTTCTTATCCCCAACACAGTTTATACACCCTTAACCTGAAAGGCTAAACCAGGCTGTGAGGAAAGACTCAGGTGGAGGCCTGAGAGACAAGAAGCTACTGGGATAGGACCACCACTACTGAGCTGACCCAATGTAGGCCAGCTGGGCTCTGACACCTGTTTCCTTATCTGCCAACAGGTAATAACATTTCCCTTAACACAGGCCAACTGAAGGACAAATAACAGACAATACATGTAGACACAATACACTGAGATAAGGTGTCCCTACAGAAAAAGCTATGGACTCTTTGTGTTCTGCTCATCACTTTTAAAATATAAAAAATAAAGTCTCAATGGGGGGTTTTAGGCAGGCTCTGGGGACAGAGAACCCTAAGTTTAATGCTAATTGAATCCACGGACCTGATTGAACACCTCAGGCAACTTCCCACACAGTCTTTGAGCTTATAAAATAGATAGTGAAGAACCTGCCTTACACAATTGAAACTGGGTAACAGTGATGAGCTCAAAATTAGCACAAGCAGTAAGAGCTATCATTAAGATAACCTATCTCAATAATAATTTGATACTGAATACATGTTGAGCTGATATATTTTTGATGTATCAGACTAAATAAAATGTATTGATAAAGCTAAAAAAAAAAAAAAAAAAAAAAAAAAAAAAAGAAAATGGTTATAAGTTCTGTGCCAAAGCATCAGTTGAGGAAGAAGTGGATATGAGGAAGATGAAAATAATGAATTAGATGATTGCAAGGGAGCTGTGTAATTATAAAACCTTTCTAGGCTGTTTATTCATGTTCTCAGATGATAATCATTTGACACAGTATTGGCTTATAATTTCCTGACCCATCTGTAATAACCACCATGCTAGTCTCAGGGGCCCTCATCCTTAGGTTGACCAGAGATTTGCAGGACAGGCAAACAGGGCTTCCAACTTTTACATGCTGAAGACTTCTCACATGATGTTCCTAACTGATTTCACACAAAACTATGCTTCTCTCTGAATGTGAAGGCTCTAATACAAAAAAAAGGCCTTCTCTCAATTTTGTAATTTATAAAAGACTTGAGTGACAAAACACATTTGATGTTATTCTTAAAACCTACCTGAAGGTGACTGTTAAAAAATTTTAGAAATAGTGCATGGAGTTCAAATTGGAAAAAATAATTATTATTTTTACACATAAATTCTAAAAATAACCACATGTAAATTGATTTCTCCTTCTGACTCTGGCAGAACTTGGGTTCTTTTGTTATGAGAGCTCAGCTGAAGTGATACTGTCTTCACGTGGGGGAAAACACACTCTCCTGCCATATTGCCCTCTGTCAAAGCCACCATCAGAAACCATTAACCACACTTCTATCCTCATCCTCTGTCATCTGATTCATACAAATAAAAATGGGCTAAACTGTAGAGGTATGCTTATTGATCACCTTCATGCTCACTCACTGGGACTACTTCTGTGCATATGTTCTCACTGTAAACAGTCAATATTACTCCTGTTGTCACTGGTATTTTTTATCACCTTTCTCAGAATAATATAAGCAACAAAATATAGAGATACTAAATTAGAAGCTACCTTAAAGTACAATTCTCTTCTGTGTTATGTGTAGTTTCTCTAAAAAAACATAAATACACAAAACATGCTCTTTTTGGTTAAACTTACCATCTAATAGTCCACAAAAGGATTGAGGCATAAATGCATAAATATAAAATTCAAACTTATTTTAACCATTGGCAAGATGATTCTTTTTACTAATATTCCTGTTTGAATATTAAAACACATGCTGAAAGAGAGGTTGCATACCTCACAGGATTTCTTGGAACAAAACTAAATAAATACACAACTCTTCCAAAGTGCCAACCATGTGGCAAATATAAGATTACAACAATAAAATTTTCCAGGTAGATGCTGCTGATGTTATCAAACACTAGCCTTGGCAGTGTAGAATTTTGAGTTACCTAGTATCAACCTGACAATTGAAATTTTTAGGCTATGGCCAAGAATATGTTTTAGAACACTGTACAATAGAGACAGGTCCAGAGTTTTTACAGTGAACAAGGGGACTACCTTGTGTTGAGGGCCACAACCAAGTCAAGATGGTGCCTGGCAGTTTGCCAGGAGGAGTGGTTTGTGAACTAACACCAGCAAGCCATTAAGATGATGAGGGTTCCTTATTGGCTTATTGCTGTATCTAGATGATGTTAAATGAAACAAGCTGTGTATAAACAGTTAGGTATATATACCTATGCTGTCCTGCAATAAAGCGGCTTCCGCTGTTTCAACCTTCACAATTTGCTTGTCACCTCCCGGTTATTTGCCCAGCCAGACTATGGCAACCTGGGCCATCATTCACTTTAAACCTGAAGGGATGTTCTCCCATCTCCACCCCAGAAATACAAAGCATTCCTCACTAGAATTCATGTAAGCACCAAGAAAAAATGGCACTCTTCCTTGACCTAATATACAAGTTGCTTGGTAATACAATTCTGTTATTCTACCACTCAGAGTAAACATACACAACACATCCTACAAATACTTCTAAAAATCGTAATCACAACAACTGCTTGTCTTACCAGAAAGTAACATGAGTCCTTCAAAAACAGTGGCAGGTGCAACTCTCAACTTGCAATTTTTCACAACTTCAGGAATTTCCCTACATTAAAAAAAGAGAAAACACCAAATTCCTTATTTCAGAACAAAATAAATTTAAAACTTTGAAATCAAGTCTATTAACACACCTATGCACATAATTATATACTTCCAAATGTGCAGAAGCAATTATGCTTCTAGTTTTCTCAGTCCACCAAAAATTAATCTGTAACCCTCCACGTCTGTGTGCCTGCCCAGCTGTCTATGTACTGTCTGGGCTGTTCTGTTCTCAGGGTATGAACCTGGAGCTGCATAAGAGTTTGTACAAGACAAATTACAAACCTCCTCCCCCATCTTCGAACTCACAATTGTCCTTTACTCCAGTAAACCCACATAAGAAACATAACCTTGCTGTCTATTCAACAGTTTAACAACAAAAAGAAGTCTTCAGTTTTGAGGAGAAGGTGTAGACAGGAGTGGACGGAATCAGATCCTGTGGATCCATTCTTATGATATCACACACACAGTAGGGAGCATACATACCATTAACACTTCAATTAATTACTCCTCAAAATTTGTTTTTAGCTATATTCACTCTTTATTTTCTTTTAATGAATTGTGTCTTTTGTTTTGTTTTGATATTTGGGATTAAACCAAACAGCTGCTTTACCACTGGCTACATCCCTCTCTGCTGCCGTCCGGCTGGGCAAAATAACCAGGAGGTGACAAGCAACTTGAAGGTTGAAGCAGGAACTGCTTTATTACGGAACAACAGCAGTATATATACCTAACTGATCACACACAGCTTGACTCAATTAACATCATCCAGATACAGCAATCAGCCAATAAGGAATTCCCACCATCTTAATGGTTCCATGGTGTTGCTTCACAAACCACACCTCCTGGCAAACTGCCAGGCACCATCTTGACTTGATTCTCGGCCCCCAACACCTCTCCTTTATATTTTTGTTTTGTTTTGTTTTGAGACAGGGTCTACTAAGTTCCTTAGGGCTTTGCTAAGTTGCTGAGTGTGGTCTTAAACTTGCAATCTTTCTGTCTCAGTCTCTTGAATCACTAAGATTATAGGTGTATGCCACCTAACCCAGCATGAATCACATCTTTATTTAACCAGAAAAAAATGTGGCAATTCCACTGAATTTATCAGGACTAGTAACAACTTCTCAATTTACTGCCTCCCAAATTATTATGTAGATGTCTCAGTAAACACAAAGAACATATACATATATTAATATGCAGATATATATATACACACACACACACACACACACACACACACAAATACAGAGAGACATTTAAAACAACTCTTTTTTAAAGAGGGAACTATTGAAAAAAAATAAATTGTCTGTGATTCAATGATAACCTATATTAAACTACTATGAAGTTTAAAAAAATTGGGGTGAATGATATAGCTCATCAGAAGAGCACATATTTACCATGCAGAATGCCCTGGGTTCAATCACCAACACACACCCCCCCCACACACACACACACACACAATCTTATTTATTATGACCTTATCATGGAAGCCAAAGAAAGCACAAACTACCAGGAACTTCAATTGAATAAGTACATTATGCACATTAAAACAGAGTTTGGACAGTGAGCTAACTGGCTCAACAGATGACCATTCACCACTAGAGAGGAAAACAAGTGGTACAAACTATGTTCTATTTCACTGTTGCTATACAGTATAAAATGGGAAGTAATTATACACAGATGTGTCCTTGCTCCCCTTTCATTCCCTTTATTAACAAGCTCATTTGACAGCATCTTTTAAGAAATTATTGTATGTGGAGCCAGGTGGAGACACTTCTCTTGACCAAGACACTTGTTGCCTTTTCCTTCTATGAAAGGAATCTAATGGAGGTGTGCACTGCCTACAAGAAATATAAGCTGCCTCTCTTTTTTGAGTATTCAAATACTGTTTAAGGGTATGTGTTATGACACCTGGGATTTACTCTACAGTGTTCCCAGGTTACATATGGGGGTTAGGTAAAATAGGTAATAGGTAAAATAGGAATCACAAAACTTTGAAAAATCTGGCAACTACATGATAGGCACATGGAAGCTGTTTTCTTAATTGTTTTTACTTTTATTATTAAATTATTTTCACAATAATAAGGTCTATTAATTTTCTAGTGTCTTAAAAATGTACCACAGACCAGATGAGTTAAACAACAGACATTTTATTTTCCAACAATTTGAAGGACAGAAGCCTCTGATCAGGGATGGTTTATCCTGAGGCCCCTTTCCATAGCTTGTTTTACTTGTGTCTTCTTCACATGGGCTTACCTTAGTGTATACATTTGTATCCTCTTATTATAAAGTCACCAACCAAACTGGATTATGCACAGACCTATTTCTTTCACCTTAAATGACCATCTAAAGGCCCTCTCTTCAAATACAGTCTTCTTCTGAGCTTGTCAGGACAGGACTTCAATATATAAATTTTGGGTATATAAATTCAGTTGATAAAAGGTAAAATATTTAATGATGATCATTAGTTTTTTAAATTTTATTTATCTATCTTTATGTGGTGCTGAGGATTAAACCCAGTGCATCACATATGCAAGGCAAGTGCTCTGCCACTGAGCCACAACCCCAACCCATGTAAAAACTAATTTAATAAATATTAGAAACATAAGAAAAACCATAAAAGTACTGGAAGAATATATTGATGTTCTTATAATTATGGGATAGGAAAAACATTTCTCAGGGCAGAAATATAAAAGAAAAATCTATACATTTTACTAAACACATTTTTGAATTTTCAGTACAACAATAACACTAACCAAAGCAATATGTTACCAAGGAGGCTGGAAATCTATAACTACCCATGATGGTGTGTGTATATGAATATGTGCATAAATGACAGTTACATAACAAGACAGACAAATGATTCAATAAGAAAATGGGAGACGGATCTGAACAGTGAATTCACAGCAACACAGTAAGTGTGAGAAGTGGCCAGGCTTATCCCTTCAAATAGAGACCTTTACTTTGCATATTAGCAGCTTTTTCTTGGCATAAAACCAAATGCAGATAAAGGTGTGTAAAACTGAATGCCCAGACAGACTACACAGGACCATGAGCTGCCCTGGAAGGCAATGTGCAGAAAATGCCCAAATCCCTGAAGGTGCATGCCTTTACCTAGGAATTCCATCTGTGGGGATATAAGGACATTCTGAGGGGTGTCCAGAGATAATAAAACATACAAGGTCACGGTAATATTGTTTCATGATAATGGAAAAGAAAAATAGATGCCAAAAGGATTTTAAATAAGGCACTATGGCTTCAGGTTGCAGGAGGGACTAGTGTAAATACAGCAGGTCTCTTAACCCTATTCCTAGGTTCTCTTACTATGGCTGCATTGTATCAGGGATTGAACTCAGGGGCATTCAACCACTGAGTCACATACCCAGGCCTATTTTTGCATTTTCTTTAGAGATAAGCCTCACTGAGTTCCTTAAGGCCTCACCATTGCAAGGCTGACTTTGAACTCGCAATCCTCCTGTCTCAGCCTCTTGAGGTGCTGGGATTACAGGCATGGCCACCGAACCCACCTGGGCTACACTTTTGATCCAAATTTCCAGAGTTCTTAAGTTATAAAAAAAAAAAACAACAAAACTTTTTGTACTTTCTTTTAAAGTTGTATATGAACACAATGTCTTTGTGGTTTCTTAAATTTATGAGCAAAATTAACTTAAAAAAAAAACCTTTAGTTTGTTATACATAACAATTACACATTTAGAGCACAATTTTTCATATCTCTGATTGTATGCCACAAAGTAACTCTTAGCAAATATAGCAAAGTACGGATACTACCCTGCATTGTATCAGATAATAATGGAATGAAATTAGAAATCTTTGTTTTTATGTTGTACTGAAGATCAAACCCAGTGCCTCACACATACTAGGCAGTGCTCAACCTCTCAGTTACAATTCCAGCCCCTTTTCATACTATTTTTGTATAACAGTAAGTCATACCGGTATGTTTCCTATCATATCAAGAAGTTATGTTGAGTTGTTAAGTTTGTGGTAAAGGGAATTTAAATATGTAAAAGTTTCCTTTTTTTTCTGTATTTATTGGTACTGGTGATTTAACCCAGAAGCACTTATCAGTAAGCCACATCCTCATCCCTTTTTTTATTTTCATTTTGAGTCAGTCTCTAAGTTGCTTAGGCTCTTGTTAAGTTGCTGAGGCTGGCCCTGTACTTGTTATCCTCCTGCCTCAGCTTCTCACAAGTCACTTGGATTACAGACATGAGCCACTGTGCCCAGCTAAAAGTTTCTAATTTATAATTCAGTGTTTACTCATGTGATAGCAGATGAATTTATAAACCAATAAAACAATGGAACAGCTTTTGAGTAGAAGTTTAATGCTGGTTATTTTTAAAGATATGTTACCAATTATCATATCAATTAATTTCATAAATTAAATGAAAGCCTATTATGCAAAAATATACTTATCATATTCACATGTCAATTAAATTATGCCTTAATCAAACTGCATGAGCAAGAGTTTGCAGTTCAAATAACACAGCTTCAAATATGTTGATGACATTAGCAGATCATAGCAAAGTTATTTTCTTCAGGGCGGCAGACCTCAGAAGATGAGGCTAGTGCATTCTGTCTCTCAACAGACCTTGTAATCATTAGACTGTGGCTGTTGTCTATGATCAAAAAGACATGAAAGTCAAAAAATTGGCCTGTTTTCATCAACTTCACTATCAAGAAATTGGTGTTGCTTAAAAGGACCAGGAGAAAAGTCGTAAAAAAAGGAAATTACTTGCTGTAACAAGTGGCTCTGTGTTTGGAAAATGGAGCTACCTAACCGAACACATATCAACTACATTAAAGCTCTGTGATTATACAGATTGCAAACTGTTCTATATTCTGAATGATAATAATTTCTACCACCCATACTAAGGGAGTTCCTGACATACCCTCAGCACAGCTTTGTTTTCAATTACTTGAAAATAATGTGCTACAAATAATATTCAAAACCTTCATGAAAACATAAGTAACTTCATATTACAAAACATTTTTGACTTTGAGTTTGACAAATCTGGGAGGTCTGCATTCAATCCAGGAGGGTGATGCATCAAGAAGAGAAGGGCA